CCATGGACATTGATGCAATCCACAAAGGAAAAGGTAAGTACAACAGTTACAAAGGAAAAGGCAAAGGAAAAGGAAAGAACAAAGGCAAAGGCTACGGAGGATACAACGGCTACGGATACAACAGTTACAATGGAGGAAAAGGATTCAATAACTACCACAACCACCCGATTGGCTTTGGCAATCCATTCGGAAGAGGCAACAAAGGAAACAAAGGATTCAGCAAAGGATACAACAAAGGCAAAGGAAAGAACAAAGGAAAACAAGCAACAGATACATGCTACAGATGTGGAAGAACAGGACATTTTGCCAAAGATTGCCGAGTGGCAATACACAATATTGGACAAGGAGAAAGCAACGACATTGAGGATGCGACAGCCCAATGGTACGATGACTACTACGACAATGGATGGTACCGTCAGGACTATATGAGACCACAACCAGGACAACAGCCATTGGCACTTCCACCAATTCCATCCAATGGCAACAATGACATGACCCCAATCCATGTCATCGCCATGATCAACAATGGCAATGACTACAAGACAGACACCACAAGCAGCGGCATAACAGACACTATGCACATCATGATCGACAGTGGAGCAGCCACACATGTCTGTCCACTATGGTTTGCAGACAACTATCCAGTGTACAAGATTGACCAAGCACAAAGCCCAAATCTCAGGACAGTGACGAACAAGACAATACAATGCTACGGCGTGAGATGGGTCTACATGCAATCAAGAGGACAACCAATTGTCATACCATTCTATGTGTGTGACATCCATGACCCAATCCTGTCAGTGACAAGACTGGCAGAACAAGGCTTTGACATCAGGTTCAACGACACTCCAACAATGCGCCATGACAAGGGATTCAATGTTCCCTTGGTGCAGCAGCACAATCTCTACTACTTACCAGCAACAGTCATGAACCTGGGACAACATCAACAGCTCCAGCTGAGACAAACACAAAAGGGCATGATTGCAATGATTGCCCCAACAACACTGACAAGACATGGACCACAACAAGTCCTTGGAGGCAATAGCAACTACTGGAACTACAACAATGAAGGATACCTTGTACGGTATCACCGGAACAAGAGGAAAGCTCTCTTTGTTCCTGGAGACAATTGCCCAGTGCCACTGGAGACATTGAGCAACTACAGACGAACAATCATTCGACGAACAGACGGGAACAACGAAGACATTGTTGAACAATACCATGACTTGAGCAAGCACGAACAACGAAGAGTGATACAAGGAGACACATGGACAGGAGAAACATGGTTCAGAGTGAACAAGCCGCCAGCGCAACCAGCACCTACCACAGCGAAGACAACAGAGAAGACAGAGAAAGCATCACAAGCAATACAGGCACGACATCAATCCACAACACTGCGAGTCCCGGACAGAGACGGGACAACACCACACGTAAGCAGAGAGCCACTATACAGACACACAACGAAGAAGCCAGCACCAATGACCACGGCAGTACCTGATCCATCAACAATGACACCAACAACAGACTATTGGATCAGAGAAGGACACTATTGGAAACGAGTTCACGTACAAGCACGGACAACAATGTACGTACCACAACAGACAGATGATGGTCCAGACATTGGACGACTCAAACCGACACGGACAACATTTGTGAACAGGACGGAACAAGGAAGAGGATACACAATCCATGACAATTGGCAGGAATCAGGAGCAAGACAGCTTGACAGACAATGGACAGGATCAACAAACTTCGAGGAAGAAGCGACGTACAAGTACGAGTACGACACGGACAATGAAGATGAATCTCAACAAGCACAACGCGCCAAAGGGATGAAGGCACCACAACAACCAACAAGACAAGAGAGGCTAGAACATGAGCTGACACATTTACCATACCGCTCATGGTGCCCAATATGTGTCAAGAGCAAAGGAAGAACAGACAATCACCCAAAACAGGCAAGCAAACAACCAGTGATACAAGTGGACTTCACCTACATGAAAGCATTTGGAGACAAACAAGTACTACCAGTACTCACGGCAATAGATGTCGAATCAGGAATGGCAATGGCAGTTCTTGTACAAGACAAGAACCAAAAACAACAATACCTGACACGATGTCTACAAACATCCATGTTTGAATGTGGACGAGCACAAGCAACACTATCCACAACAACGCTACAATCAGACCAAGAAGAATACATACAGAACCTGTTGAAGACAGTTGCACAAAAGCTCGGAAACAACGTCAACATCCGACAATCACCGGCATACTCGTCACAATCACAAGGAAGCATTGAACGATTCCATCGCGCCTTGATGGGACAAGTCCGAGCACTGGTACAACAAGTGACCACAAGCTACAACCTCACACTGAGCGTACAACATCCGGTCATGCCGTGGATCGTACGGCATGCAGCCTGGCTACTGAACAGGTATGCCATGCAAAATGATGGACAATCAAGTTACCAAAGACGATGGCAGAAGAACCACAAAGCACCACTATGCGAGATGGCAGAAACAGTACAATACATGATACCAACAACAAGGGCGCAACCCAAGATGGAGCCAAGATTCTTCAAAGGAATCTGGCTTGGCAGGGATACAATGACTGGAGAATCAATAGTCGGCATCCCTGGCAAGGTCATCAAAGCAAGAACAATTCGAAGACAGATCATGCCAGACAAGTACGACAAGCAACTATTGGATACCATCAACGTGTATCCATGGAATGCGCCAACAGTACCGATGGCAGTTCCAACACAATTGCTTTTACCAGCTGACAACACCACAAACAGACAAGCAATTGGCACACAGGCTGGCACCACGATGGAAGATACAAGTACACAGACAGTACAAGAGACACCACTGGCACTACCAGCACAAGCAATGCATCATCAGCCAATGGATACGACAATGGCAACATCACCATTGGCAACCTCTCCAACAACAATGGCAAGACCACCACTGCCATTACCACCAGCAAGCAAGCGACAACATGAGGAGCCTACAGGTGAGGCACAATCCAAACAATCGAGGACAGCACAGTCCTCAACAGCAGTGAACAGAGGACAAGATGAAGAACAACCAAAAGCAAAGATGAGAATACAAGCAGTGACAATCACCACAAGGAAAGGTGACAAGATTACCACGGCATCCTGTGAAGATGAACAAGAAGCAGAAGTGGAAAGGATGCTACAAGAACCCTTTGTCTACGACAATGAAGGTCTTGATCCACTGAAAGTACAACAAGGAATGAAGAAAGAAGCACAATCGATGAAGACACAAGGAGTGTTCACAGAGATGAACTACAATGATGTACCAGAAGAACACAAGAACAAGATCATCGAGTCAAAGTGGGTCAACAAACCCAAACAAGATGAAGTGCGATGTCGCATAGTCGCAAAAGGTTTCCTGGAAACAATCCAAGACCTTGACAACATCTATGCGAGCACACCGATCTTTGGGATCTTGCGCATCCTCCTGACAATGGCATAGCACAACCACTGGACATACAAGCAGGAGATGTGTCAACAGCATTCTTACATGCGCCAGCGGCGACAGACAATCTTTACATGTGGCCACCACCAGAACTATACCCAAGTGGTCACGATCAAGCCCAAAATCTTGGCAAGATCACTTTGCGCAAGTCCTGCAACAAATGGGACTGACTCGACTGACAAGTGAACCCAACGTATACAGGAACAATGAACAGACAATGTTTGTGATGGTCTATGTGGATGACCTACTATTCCTTGGACAACAACAAGAAGTCGACAAGACCTTCAAAGAAGTACAAAAGCATGTACTATTACGACCAACAGGCACATTGGGAATTGGTCAGACAATCCAATTCCTTGGCAGAGACATTCACAACAATGTTAAATTAACCTTAAGTAGATCTAATTTAGAGGTAGGTGGGTTCAAATGAAACCGCCGATGAGGATGGTGGAGCCAATGCAGATGTGTCACTGCTGAGCAAGTCTAAGGGTGTTGCTTGCAAAGCACGTTGGCTCATGACCTGGTGTGAGTATGCAGCTCAGTCGCTGGTATTTAATTTCCAACACGCCCGTGAGAATAGCATGGTTACAGGATCAGAAAGAAAACTTGCTTAGCGCGATTCATCTTAGTAGAACTCACATTATATATATATATTTCTTTTTTTTGGGGGGGGGTCCCAAGCGTTTGTTCGTCTCTCCAGGGTTGTCTGCCACAGTGTTTTTTGAGCCCTGCTCCAAAAACGAAGGCTGGGAAGCCAAGAATGAAGGGCTGGGAAGCCAAAGGAAAGACCGACTCCCAAAAAACGGAGTGCACACAAAACCAGTGCACATAAAAAACCATTCAAACCAGTGCACACAAAACAAAACACAACAGAGCAAACACCGATCCAGTGCCAGTTGGTTTGGTAACGCAATCACATAATAAGTAACGAGGGAACATCCAAAAGCCACATCACTTTCACTTACACAGTGTTCCAGTGAATGGCGCTTCTTTGATCTTCACGAGGCGAGGCAGTGGGAGTGAAACCTGAAACCGCTGAATGTGAAACATTACTGAGTTGAATATTGGCCGTTATCCATCCCTTGAAAAACATGTTCATGAAGTTGGTCATGACATGGGCAGCGTTGAAACTACTCAGAAAGCGTCGCAGGTGGCCTGCCAAGTGCTAGCTGCGTTGGCGTCTCCAATAGTTGTTTTTTCTTTATTGTTGTTTATTGATGGCTTCCCAGCCTGTGTTTATCTGATGGCTTCCCAGCCTGTGTCTATCTGATGGCTTCCCAGCCTATGTTTATCTGATGGCTTCCCAGCCTTCAATAGTGTTTTGGACGGCTTCCCAGCCTAGTTTTGATAGCTTCCCAACTTGCGATGGCTTCCCAGCCAGGTTTTTGATGGCTTCCCAGCCTGGTTTTTGATGGTTTCCCAACCGCATCTCACATCTTTTATCCCTTCCCCAGCGCTCAGCTTCACATGTAAGAAGCTGCCAAAACCCCTGAGTCACACTTAGTACTGCCTACCAGTACGGGCTGCCATGATTTGGGCCCGGATATCGCTACCCATCCACGCTGCAGAGGCTTTCTTGAACCTCATAGTTGGGGAATCATCTTTCACCTCGTCCTTGTAGTGTTCAAACCAGTGCTTCACGAACACGTTCTTGACAGATTGCATGTCGCCACTGATGGCCTGAATGGGTGAGTCATACACCTTTTTGTACACCTTGACTCGCTTTTAAAAACACATGTTTAAGCTTGAACCCCTTTGCCACTCCTCCTGCATCATGTCAGGGTCAATGTCGACCTTCAAGGGCTGGAGAGCATCAGAAGGCGCAACTTCGGATGGCGGCGTGGTCCTGGGAACACCCTTCTTTTCCCATTTCAAATGCCATGCCTTGGAGGATTCTCGGTGTTTCAAGATCTCGCTCTCAGACCTTTTGCGCTTCTTTGCGTTCCCAGAGTCAGCCTCACTAGCAGTAGCAGCTTCGTGAGCTGAGACTTGTTCCGCCAGTGGCCCCGCTGGATTGGGTGAGGCCGGTTTCTCAATTTCAATGGTTTTGGCGGTCTCCCCAACTTCACCATTTTCTGGTTGTCCACCATCTTCAATCTTGGTCTCCTCACTTGGCGCCTCGTAGGGGTCGATCCCACCAAGTTCCTCCAGGGACTTGACATTGCTTTCTTGGGCCACTGGTGGTGGCGGATTCAACAGCTCCGCGAGGTTTTCAGAGCTGAGTTGGCACCTGAAGATCGTTTTTGGTGAGGGATCACCAAAAAGGTCCTCCAACCCAGTGCCCTCATTGCCAGGACGACCATCATCTTGGCTATCTTGGAGCCATGGAGACACCTTGCAGGCCAGGAAAATTGGGGCTGCAACGGAAGTGGATCGACATGATTAACAGGTAACAACGTTAACGCAGCTTGATTATGTTAGCGCAGATCTGGCCTCTGCACGCGTCGTAGGAGGGGTGTTGAGGCCCGAAGTCGGTTCAACGGGTTGTGCCAACACTGGTCGATGCTCTTTGAAAAAGAAAAAGGGAGGTGCGGCACTTGGAACATGATGATCAAAGCTGATCGAATGGAAACCGCACTCCACCTGGGACTCCTCAAAGACGACAGTGTTCTCCTCATCGTCCAAAATCTCAACTTGGGACGTCATGTTGCCCCACAAAAAGCCGGTCAGACCTTTGCACTCCCGTTCAAAGCCAAATGCTATAGAATGAACAAGTTCTCAATTGATGTTCCATGGGCAAACTTTGAAAGGTACATAAAAAGTATGATCTTCAAAGGCTAGATTGGCTAGCTCATGCGCAGCAAACACAGTTTTTGCAGCCTTCACTTGTTGCTGCCCACCCCATCAGGCGCTTCACATGTGCTGCTGATCACTGCAGTCTCGCGCTTAGCAGGACGTGCAACATATGCAGCTGCTAGTGTGGAAAGCCATTCAAACATGATATATACGTGTCTCATATATCCACATGATACCCACATGAGCACTGGCTCACATCATGACACTTGGAACAAAGTGCACAGCAGCCCCTTGCATAGCTGCACAAATCCGGAAAGCTTCGCACTCACACAGTCCTTTGAACTGTGCCCTTCTTCAAGTTCAAGGGCGCTGCAAGAAACCACATAGGCTTAGCAGCTCCAAGGGTGTTCTCAGAACGGTATTGCCTCATCCTCCAGACCTGGCTGAAGCCAATAGAAATAGTTCAATAAAAATATATATCATATACGCAATGACCGGGATGGTCTTAGGCTCATGGCTGGGAAGCCAACATATGTATATATCAATACAATGACTGGGATGGTCTTAGACTCATGGCCGGGAGGCCAACATAATATCAATACAATGACCGGGATGGTCTTAGACTCATGGCCGGGAGGCCAACATCTACATATATAATTTATACAATGACTGGGATGGTCTTAGGCTCATGGCTGGGAAGCCAACATACAATGTCCGGGATGGTCTTAGTCACGGCTGTTTTCACATGCAGATACTTGATGAATGCAAGGTTGACAAACCTATTTAGGCTATTGTTGTCAATGTGTACCCCACGCATTTCACTCAGGGCCCCAGACCACGCCTGCGTCATTCCGATCTTCATTTGGTCAACTGCAAAAAAGGAGGCAACGTTGGACGCTCGCAAATGGTTGAACTGAACCTGGTTGGGACGCCAGATCAGCTTTTGAGCCTTCGGCTGCACTTCCAGCCTCAAAATAGCAGCGAGTGACACAACAAACAACACTAAGGTATAGAACATTGAAATGTCAGCCCATCATCAATGACTAACCCAATCACATCACCCAGAAACACATCAGTGGACTGGCCCTGCATTACAGCAGCAGGCCGCGAGTAAGAATGCCCAGCCAGTTCAAAATCCACCATTCCATTGCGTTCGCAATGTTGGATAACCTCTTTGAGACTTTGGACCTCGCCATCTTGCCCATTCTCCTCTGCCAAGATTTGATTTTTATAAAACGATATATAAAACCAATATGTTTGCGCGCACAATGTTTTTTAATCAATGACAATCCAAACGAACGCCCCTCCTCGAGCACCACACGGACATCATCAGATCGAAATTCACAGAGAACACCACGATGATTGACAGGGGCATTCTCCAGAAACTGATCAGCTTTGCTATCGGTCAGCCAGGCACCCGCACCATATGTCAAGAACGCGTCGGTGGTTGCAAGGCTGTAATCCTGGCTTGCTTCCAAAAATAGCTGGTACAGAGGCATGCCATCATCGTCATCGGCTTGGGGAGTAGGCTCAACCAAGTACGCAGTGAGTTCTGGACACCACGCAAATTTCCCTTTGATTTTGCCCGCGTACTCCTGCTGGAAAGCGCTTGCACCCAACGACGGTCCAAAAAGTTGCTGCCAGTCCAGTGCTGGCGTTGAAGCTGGCCCTCATCCTTCTGCCGTGGCTGGCTGAGACTCAGAGCGCGCTTGCGGAGGAGCTTTCGCAGCTGCTGGCGTTGAGAAGTGGCGGTCAAACGCCTGCACGATCTTGCGCCACTCTGGTGCCCTGACTGCATCCGTCATCCATTCTTGACGGCAACCCCGTGGCAGGACTAAAACCCCGTCAACAAGCCGGCACAAGCTGAACGCTGGCCCTTCAGGTGTGCGAGGGATCTCATCTTCTCCAACCTCAGGCTTGTACTTGGGGGTCTTCTCAACAAATGGGCCATCGTGCTGCTTCCACAACTGAAGCAAATGTTGCTTCATCAGCTTCGTGGCGGAAGTGAACACTTGCTGCTTGTCTGACTGGGAGCAAGTGGGAATCTTCTTGTCCAGGCAGGCCTTCTCCAGTGCTGTGTCGTACAGGATGGCGTTCACAACCACCGTCTCATTGCATCCGACACCTTTCAGGCTCAAGATTGAAAAACCACAATCACAAAGGCGACACATTTCAAGCAACATGTCTTAAATATGAACCAATGCCAATGACCCGTTCAGATGATTCTTCAAGCAATCCAACCCCAGGCCTTTCAAGAGGTCTTCCAAAATCTTGCTTGGAACGTCTGTTCCGCCGAGCCACTGGGCAGTCTCTTGGACATCGGTGTAGTTTCGGCGGCCCTCTGCGCTAGAAATCGCTGAGGTAAGGACACCTGGAACGATGAAATCCTGCTCACTAATAGCTTGGGCAGTTCCACAGATCTGCGCCGACCACAGCTTGCTAGAACAGAATCGGTTGATGTCGGACTTGTCAACCTACCAACTTTGCAAACGTACGTCAAACAAAGAACAATAGAACGCAGAGATAGAGGTCTGATTAAAACGCATGATGATTCTTGAAACGGATTGCCTTCTCAGCTCCCCTGCTAGCGCGATGAGCCGTGCCCTTTGCGGGCAATGTCGAATCCAGCACACAAATGTTCCATTGATAGCCAGCAGGCATCTCCCTGTTACCATTCAGGTTGCTCACGTCAACAGGAAGAAAGAAGGGTCGCAACTCGATCCGGTGTTGAACTAGCTTGTCTTCAAGCTTCCTGAAGAAACACTGGCTGCCCAATCAAAACCTCCAACATGCAGTGCATGTACAATCGTGCAACCAAAGCCTATCATTCACATGTCCAACCAAGATGCCGGATGTCGGCGCGCAAAGCTCCACAACCAGCAGCAGAAGCTAGCAAAGGCCATGCCAAAACGACGCAGCTACCTAGGGTCTGACACTTTGGACGCCCGCCAGGAATACACAACAATGCCAGATCAAAGAACTCAAGCTTGATCTACTAAGTTCAGATCCAATTGGATTTTTGGCCAACAACTTCTCGCTCCATGACGCAAACTTGTTCACGTCCTTTTGGGTCAGCACCCCCACTTTGGTGAGGTCGACCCACCCGATCACATTGATCTTCTCTTGGGCAATCTGCAACAAACACAAACTGGGTCCACAGACTGTTGGGAACACAAAATGTACAACAATTCAAGCACACATGCACACAACCTACTAGCCTTCTGCTTCACAGCAGTTGCACGGATGACGCTGTCAACTTCGAGCGGCAAGCCGCAGTCACCCACCAAGCCCATGTAGCAGCTGCTGGACATATGCTCATCTATGAGGTCAAGCGTTTTCACCATGGAGAAAGGTAATGTCGCAGGGACAAAACATCCTTCTCAAACAAAGCGGTAATATAATAAAATACAACGCATTAATTGACCACAATCGAGTCGAGGCACGTTTTTCCAATCTCGTTTTGCTTCTTCTCATGAAGCACTTTCAGCACGTGAGTTCTGCTCTCGATCTTGGATTTCTCCATGAGGTAGTGGGTCATTGCCTGGCAGTCCGAAGCCAGTTTCACTTTGACCTCCTTGAACTTGCTGTCAGCGGCGTTCTCCTGGGCAATGAGCACATCAGTTGACTCCTCCCCTTGGAGACAAGCTGGCAAGGATGGAGGTGTGACGATGTCAGTCCAAATTGCCAGCGAAGACAATCGAAAGGCTGAGTTTTTGGAGGTCACAGCAGCCTCCACATCTTGAAAGTAGTCCCTGAGATTCAAACGCTGATATCAAAGCACGGACACTAGCACTGACAACAAATCTTGGTTTGACTGATGATTCAATCATCTGAGTCTGAAATGGACATGACTTTCATTCAAGTTACTTGGACAAAAATGCATCCATCAACTTCCCATCCACGCTCTTGTCAGATGAGGCCGACTTCGCAGCATTCCGCAGGGCGGCAAAAACGCAGGAAAAGTCGACAAGCTTCTCAAACTCATCACTGGTTGGTCGAACACGGGCTCGGGCAGACAGCCTCACCTTCCTGCACGCTTCACCAAAAGCTTTGATGTGCAGCTGCATGAGCATCTGTTGCGCCCTTGGGGTCACGGTGAGAACCTCTGCCAAGCCATCTGCGCATTGTTTTGGGCGTGCACCCAGCAGCCACCGTTGTGTTCTCAACTGCTCGGTGGAAAAGCAGGAGTCCTTCCATTTGGTGAAGGAAAGGTGTTGGCTCATCAAAGCCCTCGCCTCCTGAAACAAACGCGCCAAACATTAACATGAACCAAAATTAACAAAACTTAATTACAATTAGTTCAAACAGGGCCCAATGTGTGACAACCAGTCTGAAAATCCCTTCGCCTTGCAGCTTCCAATGATGAGGTTGAGGATGGCTTTTTCCTTCTCTCCTTCAACCTGGTGCTTCGGGTGTAAACCAGGACTGGCATTGAACTCTTGGATGACCTTCTTCAGCCGGTTCTCGGTGTTGCCACTCCCGACACTAGCATTCCGCTCCATGATTTTCGAGAAGCGGAGCACCAGTTGGAGCAGATTTGGAGCTTGGCGCTCCGAACCGCGAAAACTGAGGCTCAAGTTGCGGTAGGACTGTACGTCTTTCGACATGCCCATTTCAATCTTGGATTGGCAGCTAAAATCGACAAAAGTAAAAACCCTCCTTCAAAACAACAAAAAACTTGGGTTAAGAAAGAGAAAATGCTGGCCACAACTTTTAAGAGCAACGTGCATGGGCAGCAGCCAAGCCCTGTCGATGACCTTGTGAAGCGGCTGCAGCTTTGCAAGTTGCCCAGGGTCACTGATGTCGATTTCAGTCAGCGCAAGAATGATGAAGGCCACGCATGTGGCACGGGTCCAGCCCTTGATGTTGTCGACCATGAAAGGAGCCATTTGCATCTTACCTTTGCAAACCAACAAGTCAGAACTGAAACAAATTGGTGGCGCAGGCTGGCAACATAAGCGTCAGACAAAAACACGCAGTTATCACAGATATCTCGCACTTTCCACATTTGTCTGCTGCAAAATGGGAGTCCCTGCGTGAAACTCAACTCAGCCAACGGCCAACGGCCTACTGATGCTTGCTGGCATCAACGTTTCCGTGCGAAGGAGTTTCAATCTCTTCTGTTTCTGTTTTTGTCCTTTTCTTGATATTTTCTGCCATCTCTGACAAACGAGGATCACCTCTCCACGGCGGACTTTCAGTCATCAGTCGGGGCGACGACGATGGCTGTGAAGCATGTCCTTCTGGTACACCCCCTGCTCGTTGCTGGACCTGTGCTGAGTTGACACCTGGTGGCGGACCCGGTTGAATTTTCACCGGGATATTCATTTGAGCAGCGGCAGCCAACATCTCAGGAGTGATCGGCCCGCGATATGGAGGCGGCTCCTGCCGTAGCGGCTGCTGCGTTGGGGCCGGATCATGAGGACGACCCTTGCCATCACCAGGTCTCCAAGCGCTTTCCTTCCAATTCCAGCGCCATTGCCCTGTGACATCATTGCGTTCAAATTCACCTGGGCATGGAAAGAAGCAAGAACAACAATTGAAACTATATGACACTAACGAAACTATTTACAGCAATAAGCAATCCAATATCCACTGTATCATTGTAGTCTAGAAACCTTCCAATGCATTGGCCGCCACTGACGTTGAGAGTTGCATGGCTTGTTTCCATGCTTCGTACCAGTCTTGGTAAGACTTCCCCTTTCCCTTCTGGGAGGTCTGGTAAAAGAAGCGCAGCAGATCTCGGTACTCTCGACCCTGGTTCACGTGATTCATGGCGCCCAGCAAGGAGCAAACGCGCAGCTAACAGTGCGTGATGACGACAAACTGACTTATTGAGCCAATTCTATGAAATTTCATCAAATTTCACCTGATTGCGTTCCACTGGCAAATTGAACCTGTATGAAATTGCTTCCAATTGCATCCAATTGCTGCCTAAATGCCAGTAGACCCGTCCGGCTGGAAGTCAACCTCGCAATCACTTTTCATCATATACGTTTAGAGCCACTCAAATTTACAAGCGTTCAAGCAGTGAGCCCTCGACTGAAACGTCCAGTGGCTCTCGGCCCAATTTCCAATCCATCCAGCAAAATTGATTGGACAGTGTGAATCCAGTCGTCTATGGACGGCAATCCATCCTCTGGCAACTCATACCTGAGCAAACTTAAACGTGTGTGAAGCAGCCTCGTGATTCAACAGACAAGTTTAGGATTGAACTTGGTCTCCAGCCTCAAAACAGTCAGAGGAAGTTTAATGGTGTCATTCTTGCAGTGCACATCGATGGCCTCAATGCATTGTTGATAGCATCATTAATTGGTGACATGATTTAATGCCAACTTTACTTCTGAAGACCTGGGACAAGCACGCACTCGGCAAGAGGTTTGAAGGAAAGGCCGCGGTGGTCAAAGTAATTGTTGAACCAGTCCTCCACCTTTTTGGCGTAGTGTTCTTTGTTCTCTCCCGTGAAAACGTCGAGCACTATCTGAACTGGGTGGACGCAATCGATGTTGCCACCATCAGCAGTGAACAAAAGCACGTGGTCCACCAGTTCCTGCGCAGGTTCAAAAGCCGGCAGAATATCACAACATGCAATTTGTAAATCTATGCGATCAAATGCTCATGATTGACTCAAAAAACCGTTTTGAGTGCCTTCACAAGGGAGGTGTCTCCAGAAAGGGCTTTCACTTTCTTCTCCAGCTCAGACGCCAACTTCTTGTTTGGTGAAGGCGTGCTGGATGTAGGGGCCTCTCGCTTGACACCCTTCTTTTCATCCTCTTCCTTCTTCAGCTTTGAGCGCGCTGTGTCCAGCAAAGGACAGAACCCACTGGGCCGAACTTGCAGCGCAGTGCTCGGCTCACCCATGGCCCAGTACACTGTGACACAGTTTGCAATCCCTGCAAGACGTCCCGCAATCCCTGCGATCTGAACTGTTTCCAAAAATTCACATTTCAATCCAATCGACCTCGAGCCTCCAGGTACATTGGAAGTGCTGGTATGTGATGCGCACAGTTGGACAATTTTTTGGATTGGAAACTTGAAGTCAATGCTCGCATCCCAACCACCCCAGATCCAATGCCCCTGGAGCCTCCAGGTACATTGACTTCAAACCAAAATTTTACTAAGTTTCCAATGGAGTATTTTGGTCTGTCTGGTGATGTTTTTACTCAGTGGCTGCCAGCCCTGGAGGGTGTAGTAGGGGTGTCCCTACTGAAAGTGTTCGTGATACTGTACCCACCAGAGCCCGAGCCCTCACCAAAGTCCAATGTACGTGGCGGCTCCATGTACATCGGAATCGCCGTCAAAAACAGCCATGTACATCGGAATCAGTCGACCGGGGCCTCAAGGTACATCGGAATCTGGAAATGAAAGCCTGAACGACATCGGACTTGGCGTCACAAATCAAGAAGTACATCGGATTTCATGTCTGGAACCCACTGGTACATCGGATTCTCGGACCCCAAAAGTACATCGGAAACTAAGATCGCTCACCCAAAAGTACATCGGAAATTGTGATTTGCAACCCCAAGTACATCGGAAAGTCAGCCTGTGAACCAGAAGTACATCGGAAATTTGTTAATGACCTCTGACTGCAACCCACTGCTACCTGACCAGTATCGGGCCTCAGAATAGATCTGCGGTAGAGCAGCAGCGCCTGAGCCACCATTGAATGGGACACAGCGCCCTTGTAATTGTAGCAAGTGGCTGACTGGTGACCGGGCCTTTGGCTGAAGATTGGAGAAGTGGCAACCTGAGCAAAGAAGTCGATTCAAATCAAATTGAAATGGTTCAGCTGCTCAATGAGTTCAATGAGCTGTTTCAAGCCATATGTGTATACTAATTTATATATCTATTGAGCTTCCCAGCCATGAAAAAGCTTCCCAGCCATCGTATAGCTTGCCAGCTGCGTGGGGCTTCCCAGCCAACATAATTACAACATGTTTATCTGTAGTGAGCGCTTTAAGATTTTTCCAGCACAAGCACTCTTCCACGATGCCGCGACGCATCTGCCTAGCCTAGTGGTTGACATGTTTCTCATCGCCTGATCCCTGAAAAAATTGCCTTCAAGGGCATAGCAGGGGCAAGAGCGTCCACAACACTCTAATGTATTCTGAAAACAGGCTGCCCAACTCTATCATCACCTGGCCGATCGTGCCAGGGCAATGCCTGCAATCGCCCTTCATTCCAATATTTGTTCTCCGCCAAATCCTATAGAAACGCAGTTCGAGGCGATCAAGAAATATGGTTGAACATGTTCATTCAACATGACCGAGTTTTAGCCAAGAATCTCTCAAGTACTGCGTCGCCCTCGCATAGGGCGCGCCATAAGCAACATGGATTGCATTGG